TCCTGCTTTCCATCCATCCTCATAGGGTCACGTACATCAGCACCAACAGCCGGCTGTTCTGCCCGTAAGTGGAGGGTCACGTGGCCGCGGAGGTGGGGACCTGGGGGGCCGGAGAACTACCCTAGAGGAACGCCGGCACGCAGGGTACACGGCTGCGTCTCAGATGCCGTAGAGTAATAGTGCTTCTTCCCCCTTCACAGAACATGGAGGGACCCCCAACCTTCAACCCGGTATGGTGTCCTGGGGGCTGGGGGATGTGAGGGGGTGCAGGCTCTGAGGGTGGGAGGGGGAACCCTGGGGAGCTGGCAGGGTAGGGGGGTGGGAGGGGAGAGACCATCGCGAGGGGATGGGGACGGGGACAGGGACGGGGCCGTTCCCCAGGAGGAGCAGGGCCTCTCTTCATCCGGCTCTGGAACCTGAGGGTGGACAGCCCACGATCTCTCCCCACAGCCCGTGCCATTTATTGGGAGGCTTCAGGGGGGGCTGACAGCCCGAAGGACCATCATCATCAAGGGCTACGTGCCCCCCACGGCCAAGAGGTACAGAACGGAGGCGGGGCCCGGCCACCCAGCACAGCGCAGAGGGAGCCAGACCCCGCAGAGCTGACGGGGCCAGGTCGCGCTCATCAGCCTCACCCAGCGCCCCTCCTGATGGGATGCGGAGCAGGCCCTGTGGGGGGTTCTCTCTCTTTCTCATGTGCATCCAGAGGTGGGAGTTCTCAGCCCACGCTCCCTCAGACCCAGGCATCCCTGTCCCCAGCCCCGGCGTCCTTTAGGGGCCCTCTGTCCAGCCCCCGTCGGCTCCTCCCTGGAGACCCAGGTGCTGGCCCAGCCGGCTCCACCTCCCTCTCTGCCCCCAGCTTTATCATCAACTTCAAGGTGAGCTCCACCAGGGACACGGCACTGCACATTAACCCCCGCATGACCGAGAACGCCGTGGTTCGCAATAGCCATCTGAACGGCTCGTGGGGATCGGAGGAGAGGAAGATCTCCTACAACCCGTTTGGTCCCGGGCAGTTCTTCGATGTGAGTCCGGGGTCCCTTTCCCACTTTCCTCCGAAGCCTCAGGCCTGGCTCTGGCCTCACGCCCGCCCTCTCCCCACAGTTGTCCGTTCGCTGTGGCATGGACCGCTTCAAGGTTTACGCCAACGGCCAGCACCTCTTCGACTACTCCCATCGATTCTCGGACTTCCAGAGGGTGGACATGGTGGAAATCCAGGGCGATGTGACCTTGTCCTACGTCCAGATCTGATCTCCTCAGGGGCCATGACTCCCAGGGAAACAGAAAGAGTCCCAGGGTCCCTTCGAAGCCCCTAATAAATTGTCTGAGTATGTCTCGTGAGTGGACACGGCTCATTCCCTTCCCTCGCGATTCCCTGGCTCAACCATGCTCTGTCCATCCATCATGCCGCCACCTGTCTACCCTCCTCCCATCACAGCATCCAGTTGTGCCCCAAGCCCCGGACCAGAAGATGCTGTAATGGTCATTTTGCTGAACTCCCACGTAGTTGACCATAGTTCAAATCCCAGACCCGGCTGCTTAAAACTCAGTCCAGGTGCATGTGCATGCATGCCCAACATTCTGAAAGGAGAATGGAGAAGAGATTGTAAGATGGACACCCCCCCTGGGAGTGAATTCTTGCTTTTTTGTCTCTGTCTCTCTCCAGTGAGTGCATGTGTCCTATAGCAAATCTCTCTCTTTTAAAAATAGAATTATTTATTGTATTTATTGATTCTTTTATTATTTTATTTAACTTTATTTATTATTATTTTCCAGTTTTGATCAGAGAGAGACAGAGAGAGAGATAGAAAGTGAGAAAGCAAGCCACCAGCTCCAGAACTCAAACTGTGGTCGGCCATGTGGAAGTTCAGCATCTTGGGACTAGCAGTTAGCATAATGGCTATGTCGCTGGACTCCCATGTAGT